CTCTCTCCCTCTCTCTTCCTCTCTCTTCTCCTCTCTGTCTATATATCTCTCTCCTGCTCAACCTTGGTCCCACCCTCTGCCTTTTACTTCTCTTTGTTGCCTAATTGCTCCTGAAGAGTGGTTTGGTCGAAGCGGCTAGGCGAGTCTGCATACACGTATGCTTGGATCACCGTAGCATATTCTTGCATGTGGAAAACTGTCATGGGTGGCTTAGAGGGCAAGGAGAGCAGGATAATGATTGTACTGATCAAGGACCATGACGCATTATCATTTAGTTCAGTGCATTTCAACATGTCATCTGCTGCATGCTTTCTGGTGTGTTCTTGGTACAGAGGTTCTTCTTAAACTCAGCCTCGTTGRYKTCCAAGCCCRYSWAGCGATCAAGAAACGGTWTGTGTGTGTGTGTGTGTGTGTGTGTGTGTGTGTGTGTGTGTGTGTGTGTGTGTGTGTGYGTGTGTGTGTGYGTGTGTGTGTGSGTGTGTGCTGCTTTCATAACTTTTTTTCCTTTTTGTGCTACTCGTTCTCACAGGCTGTCCTTGTAGCAGATCGTCTGTACCAACAAGGGGAGCAGGTGAATGTAACATATGGGCAAGATAGACCGAACTCCGAATTGCTTATAAGGTAGGTGCAGTCTTTTATGTTTTTCAAACAGGTGGGTGTACTTTTCTTTTTTGTTTGTTTGTTAAACAGATGGGTCCCCATGAGTGTAATTATTGTTGTCTGCCACACCACGATCTGTCCTTCCTTGTTGCAGTGACTCCACTGTACAGCTTAATGCACTTCTCTTTTGAAGTTTTGAGTCATGTTTTCTTAAGTACTGTATACACCTTCAGCATCCATGGAAGCAGTCTTTTGTTTTCCCTTGTTTTCTTTTTTTTCCAAAGAGAAGGAAGCAGGCAGGCAATTGGTAGGGCCCAGGATTGATAACCTTTGACGTTATTATATATATGGATTATAAATGGATTATCGTGGTATTCGACCACGTTCAGAGAACTTCGGACATATTTGACTTGTTATGATCCTGTCCATTCATGAGGCAAAACTCAAATTTGAGACAATGCCATCAATTGCAACTCAGAAAAAGAAGTGGAAGAGAGAAAAAACGAGGATAGAATGAGGATAGAATGAAGAAGAAGAAGAAGAAGAAGAGAAGGAAGAAGCGCGAGAATACTCCAATGTTATCTCTGTCTTCCCTGTTGCCACCTCATTGTCTCCCTCAAATATTCCTCCNGAATACTCCAATGTTATCTCTGTCTTCCCTGTTGCCACCTCATTGTCTCCCTCAAATATTTCTCCTCCTGTTTCTTACTCTAATCACATTGAGAATGAAGGAACATAAAATTGATGTTCGACGAATCTCCGTCCGCTGCCGTTGAGAAAGAACCTGCCATTTTCTCTCTCTCTCTCTCTCTCTCTCTCTCTCTCTCTCTCTCTCTCTCTCTTTTCGTCCTATGGCACTACTACATGATGCAGGCGAATGCGCTCTCTGGCAGGACGTGCGGAGGACAGCACACCACCCACCACTGCCTCTCCATCCTCTACGGCCATGCCTTACTCATGGATGAAGCCGCCCTTGTCCAACCAGTACCCTCAAAGGAGCCTTCTTACCATTACGCCAACCAAATAATGGCGCGAGGATGGCAGTCCAACATAGCCAAAGGTAAGTCTTCATGTTGGTGCCCTCCTTCGCCCTTCTCCTCTTCACCTCCTGAACTCATTTACTGGCCTCCATTTGCTCAACGTGGGCTTCTACTTCACCCCACCATAGCCAGATTACTGCCCTTCTTCCTCCCTTGCACCTCCGTAGCTATGGAGGTCTCTTCTTCACCCTCCAGCTCCTCTTCCAGTTCCGTCATGCTCCGACCTCTTCTCCCTCTTCGCCAAGCCGCAGCATGACTATCAAACGAACGTCTGGAAAGAACCGCCCACCCAGTGATATATCTACCCACTGGACTCGTGAGTCCAGCGGCAGCCAATCGATCTGCTTCCCCAAGCACAACGAACGGTCCTACTGGGGCTGCTTCCTGGCCTACTGACCTTCCCTTTTCGGTGGGAACATCATTGCAAGCTGAGTACCCCTAGACCTTCTGAATTTTGACCTAAACCTACCTAGATTCCACCTGGTACAATCATTGTGAGTTCAGCCAACCTACCGGACATTTGGCTGCTTCCCAACTGGCGGGAAATCCCTACTGGGCACCACCTACCATTTTTGCTACCACCTTCCTTATCTTCCCCGGTCCATACCAGCCTCCCCGATAAGTTTTTTGCTCTACTGTCAAGTTTCAGTTTTGTCCTGCTCCTACAACTACTTATAATTCTACCCCTCCTCCTCGCGAGACATGCAAATGTAGCATGAGCAGGGAGTTAACACTCCAACACACAAGACACAAGCAATACACTTGGGGCATATCAGACAGGCGTACTTTCGTTCAAGAGCAAGGCCAAACACTTGGCACACAGACATCTCAGCGAAACGGATGCAAAGGCACTCATTTCTCAGAAAATCACAGAGTTCAACAAATTGCAACTGTGCGGGCATTGCAGACTTATTGGCAGACATATCAGACAAGGGTGTACCAGACAGCCAGGAAGGTAAGCTTGGTGCAGTTGAGTCGTCAAGTATGAACCCTCCGCTACAGCAAACTACAGAAGAATTGGTTACCCCGTAGTTACCATCGTCCCATCTCAGCGAAACGGACGAGAAGGCTGTAATGAACCCAGTCTGAAAGGTACTCAGAAGTCGTCAATCCACTGTAGTTTCAATATCTGCATGAAAGTCTCCAGATCATGAAGTGATATCTCAAACAGTAACTCGATATCAAAAAGAGAAGAGAGTGGAGGGAGAATAGACAAAGGAGAGGAAGAGATATCACACAGTAATAACCCTTCAGATCCCTCTCCTTCTTCGGGCTTCTTTCCACATCACTTCATCAATGATAATAAGTATATTCTTGATCACACACAATAGTGCCACGTGGACTTTATCTCATGAAGACCCTGAAGACACAACAGATTTCTAGTGACGACGTCAACCACAGGTGAGTACCCGATTCCCTACATCCACAGGTCCCGATCTTCCTCTTCCTCGCAACCAGTCACCTCATGTAGACGGCGTGGACAATGCCACGTCAGCAATCAAGACAGGTGGCATATGCCACATTATCAATGAAGACCAATAACAGCACCACGTAGACCAGGAGCAGCGCCACGTAAACCAGAGGCAGCACCATGTCAGCATGCCACGTAGACCAGCGGCAGCGCCAGGTCAGCATGCCACGTAGACCAGAGGCAGCGCCACATATACCAGAGGCAGCGCCACGTCAGGATAGCCTGGCGCACTGAGAAAGCGCCAGCATGCTGCCTCCCTTCCGTGTCGTCGCCCGCAGCACCTGCGCGCAGCCAGCATGTAGCCAGCGTCAAAGCAGCATAGCAAGACTGAATGCTTGACTCGGTCGAGGCCAGCCTTAAGTAGCAGTCGTCGAGGCTGTCTGGCCTCGGGTGCCTTTCTCCCAGTCGTCCAGATTGACTCACATCTCAAGGCCCGGATTGTACAGTTGCAGCCTTCTCCCTTGGACCTGATGCTGTCTGGGTTCCTGCATATTGGTGGGCCGACAGTTGACCAAAGTCAACTGTCACACGCCCAGGCCCTGAATTTGTGAAGGGCCTTTTTCTGCCCTTGTTTGGCCTGGGCTGAGGGCGGCCAAGTAGGCCTTCTAATGGCCCTCAGTTCCACGAGACATATGGCATGGGTTATTGCAAGGCACTCATTTCTCAGAAAATCACAGAGTTCTCGAATTGCAACTGTGTGGGCATTGCAGACTTATTGGCAAACATATCAGACAAGGGTGTACCAGACAGCCAGGAAGGTAAGCTTGGTGCAGTTGAATCATCAAGTACTGAAGCCTCTGCTACGGCAAACTACAGAAGCATTGGTTACCCCGTAGTTACCATCGTCACCTGAATAGAACGTCCGGTCATTAGAAAAGAAGAAGAAGAAGAAGAAGAAGAAGAAGAACATAATGACTGTTCTAGGGACAACTTTCACTCTAGGTACAACAAGAATGACCGTATGTTCTTTTCGGGTGAAGGTGGCAGTTAGTTATGGGAGATATGCTGCTGCATATTGTTAAACATATGGGTGTGGTTGAGCTGTGTTGGAGTCTCATTGCTAGGTCCAGCTGGAATCATCAACGCCTGGAACGAACTTAGCCACAACCAATGAGCATGTTCTTTTTTTCTACGGGGAATCGTCGGGATTAATTTATTGACAGAGGGGTAGGAATCTTAAGCTTTACTGAAGATGACTTACACAAGGGGAAGAGGGAAAAAAAAAGGGGAACCTGATGTTCACTACAGTATTTTATTATTTTGCCTGTTAAATTAAAAGGCCTGCATACTTGTTGCTTGCAGCTATGGCTTTGTGGACCAGAAAAACTTGAACGACTACTTGGAGGTGGAGGTGAGTTTCATGAACTTTGATGTTCTTCTTCTTCTTCTCCTCCTCCTCCTCCTTCTCCTCCTCCTCCTCCTCCTCCTCCTCCTCCTTCTCCTCCTCCTCCTCCTCCTCCTCCCACCCATTCTTCCACGTTTGCTTCCTGCGAGAGCCATTTTTAGACCCCTGGAAGAAGATGTGAAATACACACCCCTCCCGTCTTCCTCTGTGTTTTTTTTTCCTCCTCGGCAGCAAAAACCGGTCCAGTTCTCCACAAACTTCTGATGCTTCCCCTTTCCATCTTCCTCTGTGCTTTTTTTACCTGATTAGGAAAACGATCTGGCTCGGTACACTCTCTTGATGATGATCCCTCCCTCCCATCCCTCGGTGCTTTCTTACCTGATCAGGAAAGCAGATCCAGTTCTCCACGCTCTCCTGAGACTTGTTCATCTCACGGGATGTGCGTGTCTTGCATCTTATTTTCCCCTCGATGATTCTCTGTCGATGACACTCTCCTCTCCACAGTGTTTGGCCCAGATAGACTTCACTCCCTCTCCCATTTCTCTGTTGTGGCTGATCCATTTGGTTGGGTGCTACTGTATATAAACTGGTTGGTGAATTTTATCTTCCCTTGTATGAAAGAGATAGATAGATAGATAGATAGATAGATAGATAGATAGGTATATATATATATATGTCACCGATTTCCTACAAAATGATGCTGTTTTCTTGCCACAACAAACCGTCCGCAATCTCTTTTATGTCGAAGATCATTCCTCTGGCCCCGTGCTGCAGCAAGATAATGTACCAACAATCTGCGACCTTCTCCTTTGCACAACCACAAACACTGTTACACTTGGCTGTAGCCGCCATCGTCTCTGTCACAATCACTACAATGACATGGTTTCTGCATCCATGTGTGCAGAGGACTGTCCCACCGTTCCTGACTGCAGGCACCCTTCGCATCCGGACACTATATGTCCATTTTGCGGCCATGGGCGCTATACTGAATGCATGCTCTTTTGTGGTGACCGTTCTTCTTTCATTTTGACCGGCAATCGACATGCCATTTGTCGGGGGTGTATGGTGGGCATGCTCAATGCCACCCGTCGTAGCAATTGTTGCACTGAGAATGCTCAGCTAGGTCTTTCATGTGTTCATCCACCTCATCCTTACAATGTATGTCCTCTCTGTCGTCAAGGACAGACTCATTCTTGAGCCTTTTCTTATCCTCTTTTGCCTTCATCTTCACTCCACACTCCATACTTTCCCTTACTTTCCCTTTATCGTGCTTTGTTTGTCTGCTCTCCATCTCTCCTCCCTGTGTTTATCCCCTCCCCCTTC